CCCCTGGCATGTTTCTAACTATACCATGTGGGGCAAGTCCGATTGAGCATGTCCCAAATTGTACATCTCCTGCCTCTCTTATTCCCATTCTTATATTTAACAGGGATCACTTTTCAGTTAAATTTAAACACCTAAGAATAAATGTGTGTTAATTAAAGAGTTCAACCAATAGTATTAAGTAGATAAAAAATACTAAAAGGGATAAAGTATTAAGTTGTTCATCAATAGTCAGGACAAGGGCTGATCAAGTCACTGTTTCTCATAGTGTCCATTTCACTTCAACAGGTTTCCATTTTGGTGCTCGGTTGGTTGTCACTGACCAGGGAGAACATATGATATTTGTCCCTTTGGGACTGGCTTATTTCACTCAGCATGATGTTTTCCAGATTCCTCCATTTTGTTGCAAATGACCAGATTTCATTGTTTGTTTACTGCTGTATAGTATTTTATAGAGTACATGTCCCATAATTTCTTTATCCAGTCTACTGTTGATGGGCATTTGGGTTGATTCCAGGTCTTAGCTATTGTGAATTGAGCTGCAATAAACATTAAGGTGCAGACCACTTTTTCGTTTGCCAATTTTTTTTTATTTAATAAATGTGAATTTACAAAGTGCAACTTTTGAATTGTTGTGCCTCCCCCAACCTCCCTCCCTCCTGCGGCCCTCCCCTCTCCCACTCCCTCTCCCATCCCGCCCTTCATCGAGTTTCATTTTCAATTACCTTCATATACAGAAGATCAACTTAGTATACACTAAGCAAGGATTTCAACAGGCTGCACTCACACAACCGCACAAGGTATAGGGTATTGTTCGACTAGTAGTGTTGTTTTTAAGTTTCATAGTAAAACACATTAAGGACAGAGATCCTACGTGGGGAGCATGTACCCAGTGACTCCCGTTGTTGATTTAACAAATGGCACTCTTATTTATGACGTCAGCAATCACCCGAGGCTCTTGCCATGAGCTGTCTAGGCTATGGAAGCCCCTTGAGTTCACCAACTCTGAATTTGTTTAGTCAAGGCCATATCACTGTGGAGGTTCCTTCCTCCCTTCAGAGAAAGGCGCCTCCCTTCTTGATGGCCTGTTCCTTCTGCTGGGGTCTTGTTCACCAGGATCTTTCATTTAGACTGTTTTTGCCACTGTGTCATGGCTTTCCATGCCTGTGAGACTCTCATGGGCCTTTTAGCCAGATCCGAATGCCCCAAGGTTGATTCAGAAGCCGGAGTGCTGTTTTGGGCATTTGCCATTCATTAAGTCTGCTGTGTGACCTGCTTCCCCCGCAGAATCATTCTCTCCCTTTTAATTCTATCCTTCATTATTTGCTTACACTGGTCTTATTTGTAAAATATCTTCGACACTTACCCTATCTTTTTTGATTGGTTGTGTACTTATACTTATCACTTTAGCAAGTGCACTGGCATTGCTACATGCCTCCTTGATAAGATTGAATTGAAATCCCCTGGCACATTTCTAGTTCCACCAGCCAATTTTATTTCCTTTGGGTAAATTCCAAGGAGTGGGATGGCTGGGTTGAACGGTAGGGTTATCTTCAGGTTTCTGAGGAATCTCCAGACTGACTTACATAGTGGCTTGACCAGTCTGCATTCCCACCAACTTTGGGTTAGTGTCCCTTTTTCCCCACATCTTCGCCAGAATCTGTTGTTGAAAGATTTGTGTATGTGAGCCATTCTAACCGGGGTGAGGTGAAACCTCATTGTGGTTTTGATTTGCATTTCCCTGATTGCTAGTGATCCTGAACATTTTTTCATGTGTCTGTTGGCCATTTGGATTTCCTCTTTTGAAAAATGTCCATTGAGGTCCTTGGCCCATCTCTTAAGTGGGATGTTTGTTTTGTTTTTGTGGAGTTTCTTGATCTCTTTGTAGATTCTGGTTATTAATCCTTTACCTGGCGTATAGTTTGCAAATATTTTTTCCCATTTTGTCGGCTGCCTCTTCACTTTTCTGTTTTTTTTTGTTTGTTTGTTTTATTTTGTTTTTTGCAGTACAGAAACTTCTCAATTTGATGTTATCCCAATTGTTAATTTTGGCTTTGACTGTCTTGCTTCTGGGGTCTTTTCCAAGAAGTCCTTGCCTGTGCCTGTATCTTGCAGGGTTTCTCCAATGTTCTCTAATAATTTTATGGTGTCGGGTCATAGATTTAAATCCTTAATCCATGTTGAGAGTATTTTTGTGTAAGGTGTAAGGTAGGGGTCTTGCTTCATGCATCTGCACGTCAAAATCCAGTTTTCCCAGCACCATTTATTGTATAGACTGTCCTTACTCCAGGAATTGGTTTTAGATCCTTGATCAAAGCCATCTCACTAGTCAAAGTGATCAGTTTCAGTTCACAATTAATCATAATGATAGGCTTAAGAGTCAAAGGGATCACATAAACAAGACTAGTGTCTGCTAATATTAACTGATAGAATTAAAAGGGAGAGAACGATCCAACATGGGAAGCGGGATACAAGCAGACTCACAGAATGGCAGATGTCCTAAACAGCACTCTGGCCTCAGAATCAGCCCTTAAGGCATGCGGATCTGGCTGAAGAGCCCATGAGAGTATTTTAAGCAAGGAAAGCCAAGACACTCTGGCGAGAAAAAAAAAAAAAAAAAACTAAATGAAAGATCTCTGCAAGTGAGATCCCAGTGGAAAGATTGGGCCATCAAAGAAGGAGGTATCTTTCTCTGAAGGGAGGAGAGAACTTCCACTTTGACTATGACCTTGCCTAAATAAGATCGGAGTTGGAAAACTCAAAAGGCTTCCATAGCCTTGGAAACTCATGACAAGAGCCTAGGGAGATTACTGATGCCATAAACAAGAGTGTCAATTTGTTAAGTCAGCAACAGGAGTCACTGTGCACTTACTCCCCATGTAGGATCTCTGTCCTTAATGTGTTGTTCAATGTGAATTAATGCTATGACTAGTACTCAAACAGTACTTTACACTTTGTGTTTCTGTGTGGGTGCAAACTGTTGAAATCTTTACTTAGTATATACTAAATTGATCTTCTGTATATAAAGATAATTGAAAATGAATCTTGATGTGAATGGAATGGGAGATGGAGCGGGAGATAGGAGGGTTGCAGGTGGGAGGGAAGTTATTGGGGGAAAAAGCTGCTATAATCCAAAAGCTGTACTTTGGAAATTTATATTTATTAAATAAAAGTTAAATGAAAACATGAATTTTTTTACCTTAAATGAAAAAAAGAAAAAAACAATCAAACAGGAACCTCCCAACTGAGACTAGTCAACTAACAGAACAACAAAGATAGTTATAAACTGCTTTAAATCACTGTGTTTCACAGAATAAGTATTCAGAACATCTACTGTACCTAGGAAAATTTTAAAAAAGCACACTCTTTAGAAAAACTAGAGTGGCTCTGTTTTCTGCAACTCAGAATCCTAATCAAAACATCTATACATAAATGAAATTAGCCTTATGTGCGATTCATCTACATCTTTGATTTAAAATAACTTATAATAAATGAATTATTATATAATATGTGAACATTTTCTCCTTGATTGATTGTATAAGTCCATCATAAAATTCTCTCTAGCTTAACAGTAGCTAAGAAATCTCTCTCTACATATTTTGCTATATTATTGATTTAATCTTTTAAACTTTTTAAAATTTGTGGTAATAAGAATTTTCTTAGAAAATTATTTAGTGAGATGATCAATCCTATATGGTTAAATCCACATGATCCATATGATATGACATAATTTCGTGAACTGCTACTATTATTGTAGCTATATTTCTATTCATACAATACATTTTGCTTTGATTTTGCATCATTTAGATATAACTAGACTATATGACAATATATGCATAATATATTTTCACTGTATAAACATTAGTAAAAAATAAACTTAATATTCATCACAATTCGACCATAGATTAGTTACTGTTGCATTGGAAACATATACAGTCAGTCTTTATATATACATTCATATTGATACTAAGGGAAAAAAAACCTTGAAGCTTCCTTCCCTTACTACCACATATAAAACAGCAACCCCCATCTCTATTCCATTATAGCTTGAATATTTTCCTTCATAGCAGTTATCACTATTGAAATATTACATATTTATTTGTTTATTGTCTATCTATATTTATTTGTTTATTGTCTATCTCCCCACACTGGAACAGTACAGCAGGACTTTGTAATGCTCAGTGGGTAGGACAGATCCTGTTTCACAGTAATGTTTGTAGGCAGAATATCTATGAATATCCACCTAACAATTCATTCTAATATTTACATTTCTGGCACTGAATTTGAAAATAGATACACTACACCATGATCATTTTTATGTAATTAAATATTTGTCTAAGTTATCTTTCATAATGGATACATCATCAGACAAATCAAGAACTTATTGTACACTGAGATTATGGCCATCTCTCCTAAAAACCAAACTATAATTAATTCTAGTTAAATCTCGGATCTGTTAATTAGTCTTACAATAATTCCCAGAAGTAAATTTTCTCAGGTCAAACCAATAAAAAATCCTTGGGCTTTTGTTACAAATGATTATATTTTTATCTAAAAAGACATAAATGTTGATATTTTAAAACACTTTCCTGATGAACCTTTATTAATGTAAAGTAATAGACTATCTGGTATTAAGACTAGAGAAACAAGCTATTTGTGGTTATTTGGAGACATAGGAAATTAGTAATGGAAAAAATGAATGAAGCAAATCCAGCAGACATACATCAGTACTTCAAAAACTCTATGTAAAACAGACTTAAAAAATAAGTTTAATTTGGTGTAAAAATTGTTTTGAAATATAAGCATATGAAACATTTTCATGTCAGATTTTGAAAAATTTTATATCAAAATAAATATCTTTAAGTTCCATTTTCCCCACAAATATTCTGAAGTAGCCTAATACACAGCAAGAGATGGGAATCTTAAGAAATTTATTTTCCAATTAATAATTAATTTATACTCACAGAAAACTTATTTGTCAAGCAAATGACAACTGTACTTACTTAAAACATCAACTTCTTCTAAGTCCTGAAGAATGAGCTCTTCAACTGTTTTACTTTTGTTCTTTATGATGTTAATATAGTGAAGAACTGACTCTGGAAATTCATCTAACTCCTGAAAGTGTGAATAATAAAAGAAACTGTAAAAATGTTTCTTATTAAAATTATACGTCAAATATTTCACCCTTCATTCCACACCAAAACTATGAATAAAGATATGCATATGGTAAAAAGGCTTCACATAAAGAGCCCTTATTTGGATAAAACATCTTTTACTTTCCACATGATTATTCTTCTCTGGAAAATTACAAGAAAATAAGTTAAAAGAGTTAATTTATCCATCATTTTCATTAACTTCATTAGAGGCTGTCTATTTTCATTTACTTATTCTTAAAATTGCTGGATTACTCCTCTGGGCTGTTGAAAATTAACTGAAATGTGATCCCTGTTGAACATGGTGGTGGGAATGGGAGAGGGAAGAGATGTATAATTTGGGACATGCTCAGGCTGACTTGCCCCAAGTGGTGGAGTTGGAAGCATACCAGGGGATTCCAATTCAATCCCATCGAGGTGGCATGTACCAATGCCATCTCACTGTTCCAGGTGATCAGTTTCAGTTCACAGTTGGTCATGGTGGAGGGACTGGGAGTCAAAAGGGAGCACATAGACAAGTCTAGTACCTGCTAATGCTAACCGATGGAGTAAATAAAGGGGAGAGTGATCCAACATGGGAAGTGAGATACTCAGCAGACTCATAGAATGGCAGATGTCCTAAATAGCACTCTGGCTTCAGAATCAGCCCTAAAGGCATTCGGAGCTGGCTGAAAAGCTCATGAGAGTATTTCAGGCATGGAAAGCCAAGACACTCTGGCAAAAGATCTCTGCGAGTGAGATCCCAGTGGAAAGAACAGGTCATCAAAGAAGGAGGTACCTTTCTCTGAAGGGAGGAGAGAACCTCCACTTTGACTATGACCTTGTCTAAACAAGATAAGAGTCGGAGAACTCAGAGGGCTTCCATAGCCTTGGAAACTCATGACTGGAGCATAGGGAGATTACTGATGCCATAGACAGGAGTGTCAATTGGTAAAGTCAACAACAGGAGTCACTGTGCACTTACTCCTCATGTAGGATCTCTATACTTAATGTGCTGTACATTGAGATTTAATGCTATAACGAGTACTCAAACAATATATTTCACTTTGTATTTCTATGGGGGTGCAAACTGTTGAAATCCTTACTTAATGCATACTAAACTGATCCTCTGTAATAAAAAAAAAAAAAGAGAAATTATCAATTCCCAACTTGACTCTCACTGGGATTAAACATGACAATAGGTCTGCTCTGATTTCATCATCATTTAAAAAAAATCCATCCTATTATTTTTCACCTTTATGTTTCTGTGTGGGAGCAATGGGGAAACCCCTGCGCGAGCAATCATAGGCTCATCTTCTGTATATTCAGATACTCAGAGAGGACTCTCAAGTGAAGGGGAAGGGGAGAGGGAGTGGGAAAGGGGAGGGTTGTGGTGGGAGGGACGGTATGGGGGGGAAGCCCATTGTATCCATAAGTCGTACTTTGGAAATTTATATGCATTAAATAAAAGTTAAAAAAAAAAAAAAAGAAAAAAAATTGCTGGATTACTCCCCAAATGTCCTCAATGGCCAGGGCTAGACCAGGCTGAAGCTGGGAGCAGGGAACATAATCCAGGTCTCCCACAGGGTGGCTGGAACTCAGTCAACTAAGCCATCACTGCTGCCTCCCAGGGACTGCATTAGTAGGAAGCTGAAGTCAGGAGCCATTGCTTCAATAGGGAACTCCAATATGGAAAACTGGACATGCGTGTCTTAACTGGTATCGTAACTACTAAATACTTTTTTAAAAATGTTTAAGTGCTCTCAAACGTGGTATGTATTTTTAGATTAATTTCAACTTCAAATAAATATTACCAATATTAATCAAAACTGCAGTCTTGATGCCAAAATATTTAGTGAACTACTGATACCTTTCATAATTATTTAATATTGTCTAAAACTTACTTTGTTAACACAAATTTAGTCACATTTATGAACTATTACATAGTCTCCCAATATAGCCTCTGCAAATCAATATGCAAATTTATTAAATAGCTAAATATAATCATATTAGTATATAAAATATGAAAATGAAATTATTTTCTCAGTAAACAAAATAACCAGTTAGAAAATATACAAAGACATATTCATATTAGCAAACATCTGAAAATTTTAGGAATAATTTGAGCAGTAAGCTTGAATTTTCATAGCTATTTTATATATAATTAGTATATATATCCTATATACATATATAGTATTAGTAAACTTCACTGAGGGACCTAAAGTAATATGTTAATGAATAAATATAGATGTTTCTGATACATAACATTACATGTGTTTATTATCTTTCAAATTTTCTTTCATCCATACTAGGTTTCCATATATTAAATTTAAGATTTTTAGCAAGATTTTTACTCTCTGTGCTAATGGGATTCATTGCATAGAATTAAGAATAATCAACACAGAGATAAAATGTTACCTTTCCATTAGCACTGTAGAGAAATAAGCAAAACTCTCTGCCATAGTTACCCCCAATAATGTAGTATATTGAAAATATTGACAAAATATCATCTCTAATCTTCTGTGCTTCTTTCTATATTGAGATTTTTACTTTTTATTTAATTAAGAGGATGTTTAAGACACCTGGATTGTTGCTTTGTACTATGATATACAATCTCTAATTTCTAACATTTAAGCCCTTAGTTAATAATTTGGTAATAATATATAAATGAATTCCAGATTAATTCTACAAATAATTGTGAGGTATCTTAGTTAAATCAGAAGAGCTTCAAAATTTTCTTATTTTTCTATAAATATACACATATAAAGATAAAATGTAGTAATGCCAGAATTTTGGATTTCATACTCAAATGAAGAATTCCAGCACACTTTACCTCACTTTAATTAACTTTGGATTAAAAGATATAATAATGTAAAATACAGGTTTAGAAATCATAATAAAATGCAATTGCTTTTTGAAAACTTACAAAACCGGTATATTGGAAAAGTTTAGTTAGGGATATTTTGAAAAAGTAAAACAGTAAAGGGAATTTGACCCATTTAATATTTAAAAATGTAAATTACAATATAGTAAAATTAATAGACTGATGGAAAAGACCAAATTGAATTGGATAAATTAGAAAGGGTTCTTCAAAATGTTTATGAAAGAAAGAAATTAAAAGCCAATTTTGGTCTAAAATATTTTGAAATTTGCATGTTTTTAATAGTATGCATTTCCTTGAACTTTTTGAAGATTCTATATATTGAAAATCAATTAAAAATGAGTAGATTATTCAAAAAGGGACACTGAGAATATAAATTAAATATGTGAAGGAAATTTCAAATTAGAGCTACACTTCATAATATTTCTGAAAATCAATTCTTACTGGATTAAAAATTTTGGTATAAGAGAACAAAGCCATACCTTTTTATTTTAAAGATTTATTTATTTATTTGAAAGTCAGAACTACACACAGCGAGAGGAGAGGCAGAGAGAAAGAGAGAGGTCTTCCATCCGATGGTTCATTCCCCAGTTGGCCTCAGTGGCCGGAGCTGCGCCGATCCGAAGCCAGGAGGCAGGAGCTTCTTCTGGGTCTCCCACATGGGTGCAGGGGCCAAAGGACTTGGACCATCTTCTACTGTATCCCAGGAGCATCCGGGACTAGAACCGGCACCCAAAAGGGACGCCAGCGCTTAGGGCCAGGGCATTAACCTGCTGTGCTACAGTGCCGGCCCCAAAGCCCTAACTTTTAAGCACATAAATCTTAGAGAAATCACAAAAATTTAAAGATAACCTGTTTCCAAAAGTATTTTTATAGGTCTAAATAATTTCACACATGATTAAGTAAAAAAAAGATACAAATATCATTAATATATGATATCTATAATGCAATATAGATAACAATCCCAATTTTATAAAAAATGTACATCTGCATGTTAGTACAGGTGATTTTCTACCTTTAATATGCTTTTCATAATCAAATCCACCAATACACATTATTTATTAACAGTGACCATGCTTTTAAAAAATGAGCAAATTCACTAATCATCTTTAGAAAAGTATTATTTCTGCTAAAAGCTCTCCTCCTATTAAAAAACTCAAAATTGCAACAATTATCACTTACTGTATCACTGTCATCACTCTCGGTGTCCGACTTTGGATCACTCTCAACCTCATCTTCTTCTAAGGAGGAAATGCTGATTTTATCCAGCTCAGCTTCTATTTCTTCTTGGAGTTTTGCCTCATCATCGTCTTCCATCATTCTTCACAAAAGATCCATTTAGGGGAAAAAAAATCAATAAAAACTGCAGGTATTTTAATTTGTCAGAGCAATTCTTATGTTCTAATGTTAACATAATTTTAATTAAACAAACTTTCCTCACATCATATTATACTGTACTATGTATCAAAGATACAAAGATCCCTCCATTCATTCATTTTTTTAATAGTTGACAATAAAGTGATCAAAGCTAACACTACTCTGTTATTTCTTTAAGGGAGAAATTGAATGTGCCTTCTTCTAAAATTAAGAAACTTGATTATCCTCATGGGGATAATTAGCATTAAAACACCTTTAAGCAGCATGCAGCAATGCTGACAAATTTCCATCAATCTCCAGGGATTCATGCTAAGTGAAAAAAAAAAAAAAGATAATACAGTATATGATTTTATAATTTGATAAATGGAACACGGATTGGTGGTTAAGGAGTTGAGTGTAGTTGTTGTGGGAGGTAAAGAGTTACAGCTATAAGGTATAATGGGAGGTATCTTTCTGGAGTTAGAACTGTTCAGCAATTGTGGTAGTAGATGAATAAACATATTAAGGTGATACAAACTATACAGAACATAGTTTACATACAAATGAGTACAAGAAAAACCAAGGAAATATGGGTAAGATTAGAATGTATCAATGTCAATATTCTGTAATTATACTAGACTTTACAAAATATTACCATTGGCAGATATTGGACTAAGTGTGCAAATGATATTTCTGTATTATTTCTTTAAACTGCCCTTTAATCTATAATCACCTTCATAAAAATTGAGTTAATGATATCCTAAATTTCCAATAAGAAAACTGTTACATAAATTATCATGGATCCATAGAATGCTGTGTGAGCCCTTTTAAATATGGGTGCATTTACTATACTCTTGTGGGAAGGAAGCCAACAAAGACTAATTCAAAAACAAGTGGCAGAAAAGCATGAGAAGTAACATCTTTTTTAGGTAAACACACGTACACATCCTCTTGTTTTCTGGCATAGAAAGGAAGAAACAGGAATTTTTAAATTTCCCTCATTACCTTTACGTCGAGTTGTTTTTATGTTTACCGTGAATACATACTACTGGGTAATTTTTAAAGCTTACCTAAAAATACGTTTACTCACCAGATGCCCTCTGCAATGCAAACAAAACGAAAACCCATACAGAACCAGTACAAAGTGCTATAACTGAACCGAAAGGGCGATTCCAAAGCTTTGTTAAAGGTTACGGATGGAAATTTTCTTTCGCTGGGCTTATAAAATACAGGAAGACACAAAACGCTTTGTAGAGGCAGAGACAGGAGAGTAGGGTGAAAGTGAGAACCATTTCCTTTCGAGGCCCTTTGTGCTGGCTCTTCAGGTGAGCCCTGCTCAGTTATGTATTTGAGCACGGATGCAACAGGTAAAAGTCAGTTTAGCAGCTTATTTAACCCAATGCACGCAAAATGCTATCTCGACATATGATGAGCATAAAAGTTAATAGTTTACATTCTTGTTTTGCATACTAATTCCTCGAAAGATAGTACAGATCCCGCACGTCTCCATTCTGACTAGCTGCATTCCAAGCCCTCAACTGCCACCTTCAGCTACTGATTCGGCACAGGACAAGTGCAGCCCTCTTGGGTTCCACTGCCAACGGACCACAAGTGAATTACTTCAGGGTGACAACGAATCCCTTGGAATCAGCGAAAGCTAACACCACACGAGGCAGCCCTAGAACGCCGCCTCACTTCAGCCCCCATAAACGACAAGGCGGGAAATCTTCATAAGGTAACCGGAAATTATGTGTGGGATGGGGAACTAGGGAGGACAGTAGGGAGGCAGACGCGAAAAGAATTAGGACTAGGTGAGTATCGGGGCGGGCTGGAGGGAGTTCCTAGGAATCCTCAGGACTTTCAAGTGCAGGAGAGCTGCGAAAATCCCTGCGCCTCGTGGAACTGCGCGTTCCCTTTTTTTCTGGACGCGCGGCCCTGACCGTGAGGGACCTGCCTCCGTCTGCGCTGCCAAAGCACTGCCTCGCCGCCCCCCCCGACACGAATGTCAGCCTCGACGGGCCCGGCTCACCCACCAGCGGCGAAACGCCTGTGCTCGCTCGGAAGACGGAGCCCTGAGCTTCCAAACAAAGCGTAACCACGGCAACAGCCAATCCCAAGGAAGCCAGGCCGAGTTTAACGTACAGGTACCCTAGAAGGACAAACAATCTCGATTCTGAATTGGAACGCGCGCTGCGTTTCAGGAGCTGACTGAGGAGTTTACACTTGTTTTCCAGGTAGATTTTTAATATTTAAATAATCTTGGAAAATATCTGATGAAGAGATGACATTTTGTTATAACCCCCTAATGCAGGCATATTGATCTTTAAGATGTTTCTGGACTATATTTATACTTGCATCTAGTAAATATAGAGTTTCCCACGAACAAATTGTTCATTACCCAAAACCTTAATACTGAATAGCGATGGGACTTAGAAGTATGGAAGAGAAGTCAGTAGTTTTTTATTTTTGTCTTGCAAGATAATAGGGGAAAAATCAACTGTCAATCCATCCCCATCAAGTCCTCTGAAGGGGCGTGTGTGGTGAGCAATTTAAAAACATCTTTTCTGAAATTCTTTTAAAATGATACCTGCTATTTCAATCTAAACTCTGAAGATTTAAGTATTGCCACACTATTTAATTTTAGCCCCAAAACATATTTAAGTTCCTTTTATGGAGTAAATATATACTGTGTAAAATGTGAAATTTTTTTTGTTAATAACGCATTTCTAATCTTAATTTTTAAATGTTTGCATACAGAGCATTAAATTCTAAGAGGAAGTGGTTACGCATCATTTGAAATATATTTGCCTTCAATAAGCTTAAAGCAAACATTTCATTGAGTCTCTGAAAGAAACTACACTTCCTGGTAACAGCATAAATCTGAACTTCCCTTAAAAATCATCAAATCAATTCCAAAAGCTAATTTAAGTAATTTTAGAAATCAACATAGTTTAAAAACAATTTTAAATTGCTCTTTCTCTTAAAGTTTAGCTTGTCAAACAAAGTGATAATAATGAGGAAAAATTATTAAAATCCCTTCTGAAGATAAATTATTTCATGGTGATGCATCTATTATATTTTTGCCTTGGAAAGAAATTAACAACTCTATAAACTGATCATAATTTAACTAGAATATTATTAACCAAAAAGGAATAAAATGCACCAATAATTAAAAAGTTATAAATTATAATTGAATTTACCTTGAAACTGTGGCTTATCAACTATGTAGTGTTCAGTAGAAATCCATTTATTTGCAACATTTATAGAAACTACATTCTCAGATTGTGTATGTTAGTTTGCCTTTGAGTTTTTTTTTCTTTTAATTCGTATTTATTTTATACTGAGTTTATTCCCGAGCCATAAGTTTTTGCTTCTTTAGTTTCTTCTGGGATATCTTTTTCTTCTGGGCCACCTCCTCTTCTGGCTTAGGAACAGTCTGTTCCTTCTCAGTGAGGATCATCTCGATGTGGCACGGGGAGCTCATGTACGGGTCGATCCGGCCGTGGGCTCTGTAGGTCCGGCGGCGCATCTTGGGGGCCTTGTTCACCTGGATGTGCTCAATGACCAGAGAATCTTCATCCAAACCCTTCAGCTCAGCATTACTCTCTGCATTTTTAAGCATGTGCAGCAGAAACTCGGCACTTTTTTTGGGCCAACGACCCTGTGTCCAACCCCACTGCTTGGCCTGGGCACATCTACCAACTCCACCATTGTACCGACGGAATGGCACACACTGCTTCTTTAATGTGACGTCTTTCAGGTATTTGGTGGCTTTTCGGATATGCATACCCTTGATGGCCTGGGCAGTTTCTCGAGTGTTCTTAAAGTGAACGCGAAGATTCGAGCCTCTTGATTTGCATGATTTTGTGGGGTTTTCTGGGTCCAGTGAGTAGCGAACCATTTTCGCAGGTCACCTAAGGCCGCTTACAGGAAGAGGTTGCCTTTGACTTTTTAATCTGCATAGCTTTTTATTTTCTTGAGAATAAACACTTACTTCATTTAGATTTTGAAGATCACTCAGGTCTGGTTGACTTTTGGCCTAGCACAACATAGAAAGCACATGATGTCTATTTATTGAGAGAACAAAAAACTGTGTGAGAACTCTGCTTCTGTTATCCAACAAGAAAGAATGTCTTCCTAATGTTAATAGAGTGGTGACATAACTTCAGTTTAATAGCATCTTTCAACAGCTGTTTTGCTCTTCGGGTGGTAATGATATAATTTAAATATCTGTTATTATAGTGCTAAAAATAGCTGCAGAGAAGATATTTCTTTGTTTAATTTAGTTTTAATTCTCAAGCGCATATCCTTTGTACAATCCTAATATTTCTATAATAAGAATCATAGATAACAATCAAACAGGCTAGGTTAAGTGCTTTATAATTTAATTTAATTTTCACGAAATCCCTTTGAGATGCCCACTGTTAAAAGCTGGATTTACAGATAATGATACTGGAGTTTGGCAAGCTTATTGAGACAGTGATTTTGAGTTCTAGATTTGGGGCCGGTATTGTGGAGTAGCAAATGAAGCCACCGCCTGTGTTGCCTGCATCCCATATGGGTGCCAGTTGGAGACCTGGCTGCTTCACTTCCAATTCAGCTCCCTGCTAATGCACCTGAGAAAGCAGCTCAGGATGTCCCAGTCCTTGGTTCCCTGAACCCACATGGGAGATCCAGAAGACACTCCAGGCTCCTGGCTTCTCCTGGGCCCAGCCCCAGCAGTTGTAGCTACTGGGGAGTGAACCAGCAGATGGAAGATCTCATCTCTCTCTCTCTCTGCCTCCGCCACTTTAACAGAGTACACATGATCCATAATGCACTTTATTTGGTCTACTTTCCCAGCCTTATTTTTTTGTCTTTTACCACTTTGAGACATGCCTACTCACACCTCACTGTAAAGTTTGTGAACTTAGAGTTCCACCTGTCTTGCATATCCCCAATTTCATTCAATTTTGGTCCTAAGAAGGATGGATATTCTAAATTAGTCTTCAAGGGCCATGTATAATTCCTCTTCTCTCTGAAACTTCTCTGTTTTGTATTTTCCCTGTACACCACGCCAATTTATAGTTCAGAGTTGACCACAAGTTTTTTTTTTTTTTTTTTTTAATTTTATTTGAGGTATTCAGGTTTCATGTCTTTCATATTTACAGATTTAGGAACATAGTGATATTTCCCACTCTACTCTCCCTCTTGCCCAAGCTACAATCCTTCTTCCTCCTACCTCTCCTATTCCGGTCTTAATTTTTACAAAGATCTATTTTTCAGTTTACTTTATACTCATAAGGTTAACCCTACCCTAAGTAAAGAGTTCGACAAATAGTATGAAGAAGAAAGCACTGGTCCTCAACAGTAGAGACAATGGCTGTAGACAATCATTGAATCTCAGAATGTCCATTTCACTCCGTTACATTTTAGATACTCTGTTAGTTACCACAGATCCACGGAAACATATGATAGCTGTCTTTTGGGGACTGGCTTGAACACAGGTTTTAATATTTGATTTGTTCACTTGCCCCAATTTGTTCATTTTTGTGCTGCCATCTGCTGGCACTAAGAAGAAATACTAAAACAATACTACAAGCAATTGAAGTTTAGTGAAATATAAAGCCTACAAATAAGTGAATTATGAACTACTTAAACTATTAAAACTGTAAACTATTAAAAGTATCTCTGTCTTTGGACCATTTATTAACTAATAAGAAATTAAACAAGAGAAATACCACCCCAAGGCTTTATTTCATGAAGTTTAGAACAAATTCTTCATTTATAGCAAAGAAACTGTAGATCTTTCACACCACAAATACACAAATAAGAACTACACTAACTTACTGTGTACCTTTGTGTGGCACATCATTCTTTTCACTGACGTTGTTTCCAACACATGGGGCTTGTGACTGAAAAACCCAACACATGATCATCTCTTCTTACCAATCTGTGTAAACATAGTCATGGGTTTCTGTGGCTCATTGCTTGGACACCCAGTGTGTTGTGTTCTAACTCTTTGGCTTGCATTGTTACTTTGCAATTACTGCAAATATCCTTCTCAGCAAGGTGACTGCCTTGCACAATACTGAGTTTTTACCCTTTTCAGTCTCTGTAACATGTCACCCTATTCTAGAAATTTCCTCCTCCACTGGTTTCCGTGAAACCATGCTTTGTCTTTTCATTTTGTAAAGTCATATTAAAATTTCAAATTCTTTTAACATAAACATTTGTTTATTTATTTGTTTGAAATGCTGAGAGGGAGAGGGAGAAAGAGATTTTTCACTTGCTGGTTCACTCCCCAAATGGCTGCAACTGCCAAGGTTGGGCCAGGCCAAAGCCTGGAGCTAGGAACTCCATCAAGGTCTCCCAGTGGACAGCAGGGGCCCAAGCACTTGGGCTATCCCCTCTGCTTGCCGAGGCACATTAGCAAGGAGCTGGATCAGAAAAAGTGTATCTAGGACTCAAACCTGCACTCCAATATGGGATGCTGGCTTCATAAGCAGCAGCAGCTTAACCTACTGCACCAAAATGCTGCTTCCTTGCCCTGCCCTGAAATTCTTTTAATTTATTTATTTATTTTTTTTTTTTTTTGACAGGCAGAGTGGACAGTGAGACAGAAAGGTCTTCCTTTGCCATTGGTTCACCCCCCAAGGGGCCGCTGCAGCCTGCACACTGCGCTGATCCAAAGCCAGGAGCCAGGTGCTTCTCCTGGTCTCCCATGTGGTGCAGGGCCCAAGGACTTGGGCCATCCTCCACTGCACTCCCAGGCCACAGCAGAGAGCTGGACAGGAAGAGGAGCAACCCGGACAGAATCTGGTGCCCCGACCGGGACTAGAACCCGGTGTACCAGAGCCACAGGCGGAGGATTAGCCTATTGAGCCATGGCGCTGGCCTGAAATTCTTAATTCTATTGTTCTCTACCATAAAACCTCTGATCGTTTATATCTATAATTCAGTCCATTCTCTCTTTCACTCCCATTGCATTGAGTCTCTATGAATGATGAGTTTGCATAGCCTATGCTATTGATCTATCTGCACTTAATTTCCAGTGATTATAGAATAAAGCCATTACAGATATCTCTGCCAGTTCAAACTCAATTATCACATTAAGTTTATGAATTTTTCTTATAAACTACTTCTTTGCCAAAATTTATATTTCTAGTAACTACCATTATTCTTTTATTTTTGCATCCTAAAAAGATTTTTCTGATCACCCTTGAGTCTTCCTTTCCTCTAGTAAAGCATGTTGAAATAGTATCCAAGTCTTATTTTTCTCCTTATCTTTTTGTATTTGCCCTTGTAATTGTGGAGCATGTATTTGGCCCTGCAGCTGAGTATTACCATGTGACCCAGACTATGCACATGGAATATGAAATGTTCACTTCCCTTTCTTAGAAGATAATTGACTGAGTTTACTTATCCTTCCTGCTTATTACAAAGGATGATACCTAAAGCAAACTTGGGAGCTATATGTTGAACCAGTCTGAGCTAGGCCCAGGTTTCTAAGATGTTTTCATAGAAGAGAACCAAATACCCATCTTGAATTGAGAGAGACATGAACTTCCGTTTGTTTCTACATTTGGGACTTTTGATAAAGCATTTCAATTTGATACCATCTAACATGCTAATTATTAGCACATCAACACTCAAGTCCATGTCTTCACACTTCACACCAATGATACTGAAGGGATTTCTGGTTTGTTAAGTCACTTTTCTCTTTCTCATTTTAAGACAGAGGTTGGCTGGCGCCATGGCTGAATAGGCTAATCCTCCGCCTGCGGCACCGGCACCCCAGGTTCTAGTCCAGGTTGGGGTGCCGGATTCGGTACCTGTTGCTCCTCTTCTAGTCCAGCTCTCTGCTGTGGCCTGGGAGTGCAGTGGAGGATGGCCCAAGTGCTTGGGTCCTGCACCCCATGGGAGACCAGGAGAAGCACCTGGCTCCTGCCTTCGGATCAGCGCAGTGTGCTGGCCACAATGTGCCTGCTGTAGCAGCCACTTGGAGGGTGAACCAACGGAAAAAGGAAAACCTTCCTCTCTGTCTCTCTCTCTCTCTCACTGTCCACTCTGCCTGTCAAACAAACAAACAAACAAAAAAGACAGAGGTTAAGATTTGGGGCCCAAATTCTTGTTCAATCTGTAGGTAATGCTCACAACTTTCCCAGATACTGTCATAAGTAGAGTTAAAGCCAAAACTATGGATCTACAACATCTTGATAGACAAACTGAAATCAAAATCTGGTAGGCTTTCCAGTTGAATGTCCCATCAAAACATTACAGGGATTAGAAAAATGTGGGAATAAAACTATAGGTTAGAAACTGGGGAAGCCGAATAACAGAAGGCAGGTTCAAAGCAAAGGAAGAATTCAAAGCACAGACATGCTCATGAAGCTATAAAGAAGAACCAGAGGGCCTCACAATAGGGAGGGGAGTTGACAGACACTAACACAAGCATCTTTGATTTCCCTACTTTCCAGTGCATGCTTCAGTTCAATGCATTGGTTTCTTCCTAACTAGCTTCACATTAGTTTCCTTATATCTGCTTTTGTTATGTCAGTTATACATAGTTAACATTAGTTAAAACCCCATAAACCATAGTACTTTTTAAATTGTGGTGCTAGCTAGAGTTGAAACAATGAAAAAAAAAAGAGAAAACTCAGAAACATACCAAAGGAAATTTAAGACCTTCACATAAAATTATAAATCACCAAAATCAATGGGATAAGTGTTGGTTTCTCCACAAGTGTTTTATGAAAACTGATTATCAGAAAAATATTTTTTAATGAAAACAAACTTATACAGTTCCTTTCCTAACTGTACAGCAAACTAAATTATAGATTAACTAATTTAATCCATCCATCCATTCATTGATTCAACAAATATCAATTGAGTACATACTGTGTGCTATACTTGAGAGTTATATTGGTATAATATAAGACCTTTTACCTCAATTTAATATGGGAAAAAGAAAAGTATGTGAAAAAATAGAGAGGCAAAAATTTGTACTTAAAGAAAGGCCTCCAAGCCTTTCTCAATGAAACAATGTCTCAATGAAGAACTGGAATTATTCTAAGAAATGGAATTTCCAGACCCGAAAAAGAGCTTAAGCAGAGGTTGAGGAGAATTTCTAGCAAGAAGATGAAACAAAATAAAATCTCTTACTTTACTGGAAGGTGCAGAAAGGTTGATTATTAACATGTTATATAAATGCCTTCTCCATCTCAACTGCTTAACCAAAAAAAAAAAAAAAAAAAACAAAAAAAAACAAAGAAATAAAAAAAAAGACAAATACAAGTACAATTTCATGATATCTTTAACACATCCCTATATTTGGGGCTGGATGGATGCTATACTGCCAACTGATGGGAAAAGAGAAATGCACATGTAAAGGACATGATTAAGCATGGTTATTGAAAGTTACTGTAGTGCTGATGTTTTACTAAAAGTTCTGGTTATCTTTTCAGGACCATCAATATCCAGGGAGAAAAAGAATGTTAAGAAAAAACAAAATATTAATTTTTAAGTATTTTCTTAATCTTATTAATGGAGCTTTCTTGGTAAGAATCTTAATCATTTAGTGCAAGAAAAATAATGGTTTTTTTGGGCAATTAGTTAAAAGTGATTGTCGATTGTCTTTTTTTTTAGGTTCTTGGACTTTTATTTGTAGGATTTGGTACATGGCTTTTATTAGATAGAAATAATTTTTTGACAGCTTTGGGTATGTATTATTTTTTCTCTCAATGAAATAAATAAGGCATCCCTTTAGATAACTGCATGCATTGTCTATTCAGCAGGTGGCAGTGTTTCTCTAAAATTCATTAAGTATCAGCCAGTGTTCTTTCTGAAGGCCCTTGTCAACTGGTTTCAGAAACAATTTATTAAAAAATAGAACTTGAATCCAAGACCATAAAAGAGGAGGGGGAATTTATGAACTTGACTAAGCAAAAGGCATGAGAAAAGGGAAGACTGTGTATTTTTGTTAACTCTGGAATCTCAAAATTCTACAAAATAGATAATGGAGATCAACATAGTTTTGCCACCCACATAAAATAATTTCTTTTGAAATATACTTACCATATTCTGTCACCATCCCAGTGCCAAAAATAAAACATAATATTCCCTAAATAAAAAAATATAAATAATTGATTACCTTTAACTTTGTGGAAAAATCTTTAGCTATTTATATTAATGTTCTCTTACCACTTTGTTTTGTGTTGTGGTCACTGTAGACAGAAATTTAGAAACCATTAGACTAAGGGTTGTTTTCATGTACCTATCTTTGGCCGGATTGAATGAAGTTAGATTTCAGTTACCCAAAATCTTTGTGTGGCTATTGGATGCTGGGTACCTTATTGAACAACACAAATAGACAACAGACAGAGATCTTTCATCTGCGAGTTCACTCCCCAGATCCCCACAACAGCCATGTTTTGAGCCAGACCAAAGTCAGGAGGTAGAACCCAATCTGGATTTCCCACGTGATTGGTAGGGAACCACCTATTTGAGCCATCACCTGCTACCTTCCAGGGTACACATCAGCAAGAAGCTGGGATTGGGAGAAGAGTCTGGAGCTGAACTCATCCTGGTATGAAATGTAGCATCTAAAGCTGTGGCTTAATCCACTGCACCAAATGCCCACCTCAGCAGTTGGCTTTTAAGAGGCAGTACAATCTGGCTCCAGTGAACCACTGCCTTTACCATTCTCTTATCAATCCTAGGGCATACTTAATTTATGTATTTGTTCTTTTCTTTAAAATATATACATGTATTTTTCATTTTTATTATTTAAAGGAATTTATTAATACATTAAATTCTCAGGGTCACAGTAAATGCATGATAATTACTATAAACAATTTTGATCAATTCTCATATTAATATGATATTGATATTTACACTCCTATTATCTGTGCCACACCCCTAGGCATTAAACAGGTAATTTATTGACCATATGAATAGTTATTTGGGGTCATCAGCAGGTTCCTGGGACTTCATGTTATGAAAAACTATGTATGGATTTCAGCATTTTTTCATCAAAGCAAACATCTTTTAATTCAATTTTTCTGTACAGTTTTTGAAGTTCTCTTGTAGAGTAATAGTCTTGTTGGGGAAAAGATAAAATGTTGATTGAAATTGTCCTTATTAGTAATAAGCTGATGGTGTACAAAGGATCACCTAAATCATAGATATTAATTAACAAAATTGTTGATGAGTGAATAAATGAATGCATTAATATTCAAATTGTATATTAGGCATGCTGTATTTATTATTAAGTAGGAAATAAAATAACTGTATAATAAGTCATTTTGTGGTTTCCACAGACGAAAATAATCACTTCATAATACATATTTCTCAAATTTTGGTTGGAATGGGATCTGCTATTGTTCTTCTTTGTCTACTGGGTTATTTGGGAATTAATAAAGAAATCTTATGGCTCCTAATCCTGGTATGTATTTCACTTCAAAAACCTGAATATATGTCTTATATTGTTGCATCAAGTCACACAAACAAGCAATAATGATTTCTGCCACCATGATATTTAAAAGAATATATCCTTGGGAATAACCCAATAAACTTCCAGGTAAGGGTTTCTTGGTTAGTTTTCCAGGGATCAAATCAGTTCCTCCATACCTACACTCTAAGTAATTTAATTTTCAGTGTCACATCAATGGAAATCCATCTCCTAGGGTGAACTACAGTTTACCAAACTGAAGAATCTGAAGGCTAAAATCAGAATGGAGTGTGTAAAAGTCTCGAGCAAAGTAGCTTATCAAAGCAGAAAAAAGGAGAAGGAAGGAATGAGGGAGGGAAGAAGGTAGGATCTCTAGTCTACATTTCTCCCTGTCAGTGCCACATGGAAAGCTAACTTCTAATTGATACAACAAACAGTAGCATTTAACAGAGAAATTTTAAGTGCTGAATGGGACAGACCCTGACATCTGGCTAGCCCACTGTCTCTCATAAATTATATGAAAAGATAATTTATAATCGGTAACATTGACCTGTACAGAAGCCATGTACATACATGTAGCAGGTGTGAATCACAGCTTATATACTCAAAAGAAATTTATCCTTAAACTTTTTTGAATCAAATTAATTGTGCTTTCCAGCCACTCTCCTGTCAAAGAGGCAGAGAATACAGTTGCTGTCATTTTGTCCCTTACCAGAAAGAATTCAGAGATACTGTGCTATTACCTGACACTAAAAGTCTGGGTGGTCGCTCTGCATACTGGTTTTCAGGATACACCCTAAATCACGTGGTTCCTGATTCAAGTCTACTCATTCTGCTTTGTGAACGGCATAGGGTTGCAAAGAGGCTGCTGTGCATTCATATGATGCTGTGGGCATGCCAGTGAAAACCTTTGATGAAGGACTGGTATGAAGTCATTACCTTGGATCCTTCCCTGAGACAGAGCTCTCTGATTACACAGCAACCAAAGGAATCATGCCTAACATAGGAAGAGTTGCTATCACTTTTTACTCTTGCTCCTTATTATTATGCGAACATCACCGTGGCACGAACATTTTAGTCAAGGCTAGAAACCACACCATCATTTCCCTCTAGGTATTGTCCTCATCAGGGCAATGCCAGGAAGCCAAGGTGCACTGGGATCCCACAGACTTCCAGAATCAGCCTCAGAATCTTTTGAGTCTAAAAAGAGACTTCACTGTCTCTTTTCACTATCCTCCAAAGCCTACCTTCTCCACTTAAATTATAACATTCTCTCTTTCCAAGACATTTAGCAATTCTCTTTTTGGCCTCAAGATTTTGCCTGTGGAAACCAGACAGAAATGGCCTGCGGGCTGATCCTGAGTTTTCCCTTGCTACAAAATTCCATCAGGCAGAGGAAATGTAGAGCCTACTACTGGTATAGTGTTGGGGGTTCGTTCATAGCAGCAAAAAGGAGGAAACTAGTGTGAGCAAAACCTAAGCACCTCACAAGTGTTTGTCTCATGGGATTCAACTATTAATTGCATCTGAATGAGAAAGCCTGATAGACACCATCATAAGGGTTATGTGAATATGTCTCATTCTGGAACCAAGACAGCACCATCCCTTCTGAGCACCACATCGAGGGGGCACCACTATCTTTTGCTGTTAAGACCCTTTCTCCACTCGTCTGAAAATACCAATACTTGCTGATCAACACATTTTCCCTTTAACCATGCTATTCTCACAATCTAGTTTTTGTCAAGCCATACAGGCTTAAGAGCTATTCATTCATTTAAAGGTGATTTTCCATATACCTACTCTAACTCCAAGATACATAGTCATTTTTAGAATGGTTTTGTGCATTCGTTCCTGCTGGTATTAGTCTCATTATTGAAGGTTAAGTGAGATTTCTATGTGATTTCTATATTTCTAGATATAAAGACCATATTTTTCTATAAAAATAGAAAATGTCAAGTAGAAAAGTTCATTTGAATATTTAATAAAAATATTAAATGTTTAAAATATGCAAGATTACTAATATTAACAGTACATATTTGTCTAATATCTATCCATACTGCCAAGCTTTTAAAATTATGAATTCAAGATAGTATATAATAATGTATGCTGCTATGGTGAAGAAGACTGAAGCGACCATAAATTCAAAGAAATATAATGGTCTAATAAACGTGAAAATAATTATGTTTGGTTTTGCATAGCAATATTTAAATTTTCAAATAATTAGTCCAGGGGCTTGGGTTGTAGCATAGTGGGTCAAGCCCTCATTCATGATGCCAGAATCTCACATTAGAATTACAGTTCAGGCAAGCACCACGGCTCACTAGGCTAATCCTCCACCTGTGGCACCGGCACCCCGGGTTCTAGTCCCGGTTGGGGTGCTGGATTCTGTCCCGGTTGCCCCTCTTCCAGTCCAACTCTCTGCTGTGGCCCAGGAGTGCAGTGGAGGATGGCCCAAGTGCTTGGGCCCTGCACCTGCATGGGAGACCAGGAGGAAGCACCTGGCTCCTGGTTTCAGATCGGCGCAGCGCACCGGCCATAGCAGCCATTTGGGGGGTGAACCAACGGAAAAGGAAGACCTTTCTCTCTGTCTCTCTCTCTCACTGTCTAACTCTGCCTGTCAAAAAAATAAATAAATAAAAATGATAATAATAAAAAAAAAAAAGAATTCCAGTTCAAATCCTGGCTGCTCCACTTCTAATCCAGCTTCATGCTAATAAGCCTGAGGAAGCAAAAGAAGATGGCCCAAGTATTTGGGTCCTTGTGCCCATGTGGGATTTAAGAGTCACAGGCTCCTGACTTCCCTCTCACCTCTGCCCGGCAGTTGAGGCCACTTGGGAAATGAACCAGTAGATGGGAGGGCCCTTTCTCTTTGTCTCTCCCTTTCTCTCTCTCTGTCACTCTTGACTTTCAAATAAATCAAGAAATAAATCTTAAAGATTTATGTAGATCCCAAATTAAATTTACTATTGCATTTGCTTTCATTATTCTTTCTGCTTTTTTGTTTTTTTTTTTCCTAAGTAGAAGTCCAGATATTGAAAGATCTTCTTTTTTTTAAAGATTTATTTTATTTATTTGAAAGACAGAGTTACAGAGAGAGGTAGAGACAGACAGAGAGGTCTTCCATCTGCTGGTTCACTCCCTATATGGCCGCAACAGCCAGAGCTGGGCCAATCCGAAGCCAGGAGCTAGGAGCATCCTCTTGGTCGTCCACGTGTGTGCAGGGGCCCAAGAACTTGGGCCATCTTCTACTGCTATCCCAGGCCACAGCAGAGAGCTGGATGGGAAGAGGAGCAGCCAGGACTAGAACCGACAACCATATGGGATGCCTGCGCTTCAGGCCAGGGCATTAACCCGCTGCGCCACAGTGCCGGCCCCTGAAAGCTCTTCTGTAATAGTTTTAGATATGATTTAAAAAGATGTCATTAGCAATTCCATTAGATCAGTCTGTTAGGTTCTTATGAAATATGATCACTTCTTCCTATCTTTTTCTTATCCACAGATTCATTGATTTTTTTCCTTTATCTTTCTATCTCAATAATTTAACTTATATTTGGGAAAGTAGGAAATTTCAGAGGTATTCATGTAAGGCACATTTTCTTATTAAATTGTATCTAAAATATATACTAGTAGAGTTATCACCTCTGTTTTTTTTTTTTTTTCTATTTTAGTATGCAGTATTGTTGGTATTTGCCTTTGCTGTTCAGGCTATTGTGTCAGCACTCATCTTCACGAAGAAAGAGGAGGTATGAAAAATGAAGTCTTATCAGTGCATCCTGTTATTTGAAATTAAATATCGTGAACTTTATATTATTAAGAGCTTTGTGCTTTTAAGCCAAAGTTTAATGCCATTGGAAGGAAAAGTTATTTGAGGGAAGAACTAGAATTGTGTGTATGAAGGGGTAGCGTTCAGGTCAGAAGGATGGGTAAGAGGAGCTTTTCTTTTGTTTTGTTGCCCAAGCTTGAGAAAATAGTTATAAATAACAGCATAGCGGGAAAAGAAGCCACACTGCTTTGTAGGTACCCAAGTCCCTGTACCCCATCTTCCTTCACATGCAGCTAGCTTAGGTTGCCACTGTTGACCAATTGCTGTATGATATTATACCTTGTAAAGAAATACATCTAGACTTGTAAAAGTTTGAAATGTGGCAATTTTATTTAAATAAGCTGGACTAAATAATTCACATATTTTGCACAGATGATGCCATGAGCCATATAATTACATTAATTAGAGTAAGATTGATAGTTGTCAAATTAAGTTCAAAGAAACACATACTAAATTGCCAAGAAAAAAGCCTTTTGATGCTAAAACTTGACTACCACCGACTATGGTTGCTGTTAATTCATTATGAAATTTCAGTGTTGCCATTCAGTCAAGATGTCTGTATCATGGATGGTTATCTGATAGTGGGAAGAACATGGCCTTGAATCATATAGAGGTCAACAACCTACTTAGCCTTGAGCCTATGTCATCTGTAAAACATAATTAATATCTACCTCCATTATAATCATTTAGTGACAGCTTTTCAAGTTCCAATAATAAAATAGCTTCTCAAGAGTTATTGTCTCTTCCTTTAAGTTTGAGCAGCCCCGGATTAATTTATAGGATTCATAAGCTTTCTCTGTATTTACTCTCTGATGTAATGGTCAAAACTTAACAAAATCTATCTTGTGTAACATCGTTGCCCTCAGCTCTACTTTCTGTCTTGTGGTTGGCATCTGTACTACATGTCTCATCACCCAGGGCCTGCTGTCACTAGCCTGTAATTTAAAGCTAAAATTTCAGGGCCAGCACCGTGGCTCACTTGGTTAATCCTCCGCCTGTGACGCCAACATCCCATATGGATGCTGGGTTCTAGTCCCGGTTGCTCCTCTTCCAGTCCAGCTCTCTGCTGTGGCCCAGGAAGGCAGTGGAGGATGGCCCAAGTGTTTGGGCCCTGCACCCACATGGGAGACCAGGAGGAAGTACCTGGCTCCTGGCTTTGGATTGGTGCAGCGCGCCGACTGTGGCAGCCATTTGGGGAGTGAACCAATGGAAGGAAGACCTTTCTCTCTGTCTCTCTCTCTCTCACTGTTTAACTCTGCCTGTCAAAATAAATAAGTAAATAAATAAAGCTAAAATTTCTTCTCTCCATATCTGAAATGTATGTGTTTGCACATATTTGTCCATGCATCTGTGTGTGGGATTTTGGGGACTGTACACAGAAGGTGGATCTTGGAAAGTTGTTTTGGTAGTAGAGTATCAGATCCCAAAACTTTTGAACCTTATGATAAAACCTGAATATAGTTCATAACTACACTGAATGCCTAAATATGTTTTATCTGAGTCACCCATCTGAGCTTCAATACTATTCAGATGTCCCTCTGTTACATATATTAAAAATAATAACTACTACCAATTAATAAATGCCAAGTGCTGGTGACTCTGATAAGCATTCTAATTACATTATGTTATTATTCTACCTAACAACCTCTAGAGACACGTGGTTAGTCTTACTTTATGGAGAAGGAAGCTGAGCCTTTGAGATAAGAAATAATTGCTAACATATTTCCTAGCCCAATGACAGAGTATGGACTTGAACACTTATTGGCTGACCCCAAATTTAACAGCTTTGTTTGTATCAATTTTTCTAAGCTTTTATGAGCCTCCAGCTCTTTTTTCCCATTTACAATGGCTAACTCAGTGTTGAAGATGTATTAGTGCTTCATAGGAGGCTTGGCATACTGAATATTTGTAGGGGGATTTTATTTACATAGCAATCACTTAGTTATACATGGAAATATTTGTGTGAGCTGGCATTGTAACTTAAGCCACCCCTTGCAGAGCCAGCATCCCATATGAGTCCTGGCTGCTCCACTTCTCCTCCAGCTCCCTGAAAACAGCCTGGAAAGGCAGCAGAAGATGGCTCAAGTGCTTGGGCCCTTGGACTCACATGGGAGACCTAGATGAAGCTCCTGGCTACTGGCTTTGTTGCAGTCATTGAGGGGAGAGGGGGGCGAACCAATGGATGGATTCAGTCTCTCTCCCTCTCTCTAACTCTGACTTTCAAATAAAAATAAATCTTAAACAAAAGAAAATACTTGTATACAAATCTGTCATTCAGATGGACTCTGAATCTCCCAGATAATGATTTAGAGTATAAATGAAGCCATAAGTTCCCTCCTCCCCTACCAGCAATATGAAATGGAAAAATCTTTCTGTTCCAAATAAAAGTTAACTTAGAAAATAAAACAGATATAAATTCTCCTTTATTCAAATTTTTCTGCAATATATTAAAATATAAATGTATGAGTAACTAAGAGTTAATGAGTATGCATTTTATAATCATTATAGTATTCCCACCAGCTATTTAGTTTCATTATTCAAAGATAATATAATACAATAGGAAATTATTTGACTACTATTTTTTTTTTTTGACAGGCAGAGTTAGACAGTGAGAGAAAGAGAGACAGAGAGAAAGGTCCTCCTTCTGTTGGTTCACCCCCCAAACGGCCGCTACAGCCGGTGTGCTGCGCCAATCCGAAGCCAGGAGCCAGGTGCTTCCTCCTGGTCTCCCATGTGGGTACAGGGCCCAAACACTTGGGCCATCCTCCACTGCCTTTCCGGGCCACAGCAGAGAGCTGGACTGGAAGAGGAGCAACTGGGACAGAATCTGGTGCCCTGACGGGGGCTAGAACCCGGGGTGCCGGCACTGCAGGTAGAGGATTAGCCTAGTGAGCTGCAGTGCCCACTGACTTCTATTTTTCATAAGGTTTTTTTTTTTATTATTTTAAAGACAGAATTAGAGAGCAAGAGGGAGAGAAATAGATCTTCCATCTGCTTGTTCATTCCCCAAATGGCTGCAATGGCTGGGGCTGGGCCAGGCCAAAGACAGGAGCTTCATTCAGGTCTCCCATGTGGGTACAGAGGCTCAAGGACTTGGGCCATCTTCCACTGCTTTCCCAGGTCGTAGCAGAGAGCTGCTGCTTCAGAAGTGGAGCAGTGAAGGGGCACCCAGGTGGGATGCTGGCGTCACTGGTATCTTAACACGTTTACACCACGTCAGTCCCTTGAATAATATTATATGAACCATATTAAAAGTGTCAGCTCATTATAAGGGAGAGCAAATAATTTAATTCTCTGAATGTTTGTCTTCTCACTCGGGTAATGGAAATCTATTCTCCCTATCCTTTTACATTGTTGAGAGCCAAATAAGGAATTGGTTATCAAAATTATATAAACATTTAAATGTTTAAGTTACTTTTCTCTATATTTTGAACAGAAATGTGTTTTCCCCAAACATTCAGACTCGATCACTTTTATGTAGTATCATAGTGAAGAGAAAGCAATATGCTTCTTTTCCAGTTGTGTAGTTCATGGCTAAGACCCCCCTATAATAAAAGACAGATTAACAAAAGAAAGGCATAACAAATTTGTTTAAACAGTTTTCATGATTCAAGAGATTCTGAAATGAAGACTTAAAGCCCCAGGAAAGACTGTATTTTTGGGAGCCATTGTACCTAGTATAATTGGTGGACAAAAGCATATGATAATGGTATAAAACTCAGAAACCTTAATGAGGCCTATTTGTTAACATTTTGGGGGGCTCTGTCTGGAAGGAGAGTCTTCTGATCCACTTTCAGGAGAGACAAATCAGAGAATTTGTTATGACCTGATCCAAGGGAGAAAAGTGGGGGCAGGACAGAGAGTGAACTCTTGCTTCTGCAGTTTTTTTAATTTCTTTTAACTTAAAAACCAATGTGCCAGCCATCACTGTGGCTCACTTGGCTAATCCTCCACCTGCGGCACCAGCACCCCAGGCTCTAGTCCTGGTAGGGGCGCCGGATTCTGTCTCGGCTGCTCTTCTTCCAGTCCAGCTCTCTGCTGTAGCCCAGGAAGGCAGTGGAGGATGGACCAAGTGCTTGGGTCCCTGCACCCGCATGGGAGACCAGGAGGAAGTACCTGGCTCCTGGCTTCGGATTGGCGCAGTGCCAGCCGTGGTGGCCTTTAGGGGAGTGAACCAACGGAAGGAAGACCTTTCTCTCTGTCTCTCTCTCTCACTGTCTGTAATTCTATCTATCAAATAAAAAAAAAAATCCAATGTGTCAAGATGTTGTGTTCTGAACTTTACCAATATTGTAAAAGGATAATTTTAATATAAAAAACCCATGATTCTTATAAAAATATGTCAATGATTTTAGCATTTTGATTAATTAAGGATGCAGTAAATTGTGAATATCATTTCAGGGGGATGGTGTTGTGGTATAGCAGGTAAAGCTACTACCTGCAATACCAGCATCTCACATATGTGCTGGTTCATGTCCTGGCTGCTCCACTTCTAATCTAGCTCCCTGCTAATGGCCCTGGAAAGCAGTAAAAGATGGCCCAAGTGTTTGCGTCCCTGTTATCCACATGAGAGAACTAGATGAAGCTCCTAACCCCTGCTCCTGGGTGAACCAGGCCTTTGCAGCCACCTGGGGAGTGAACCAACAGATGGGAGGATCTCTCTCTCTCTCTCTCTTTCTCTCTCTGTAAGTCTAACTTTCAAATAAATAAAACTTAAAAAGAAAAAAAAAAACAATTCAAAGGAAATTCCAAAGAGAGGACACTTCTTTTTTTTTTTTTTTTAAAGATTTATTTTATTTATTTGAAAGAGTTACAGAGAGAGGTAGAGACAGAGAGAGAGGTCTTCTATCTGCTGGTTCATTCCCTATATGGCCTCAACAGCTGGAGCTGCGCCGATCTGAAGCCAGGAGCCAGGAGCTTCTTCTTGGTCTCCCATGTGGGCACAGGGGCCCATCTTCTACTGCTTTCCCAGCCCATAGCAGAGAGCTGGATCAGAAGAGGAGCAGCCGGAACTAGAACCGGAACCCTGAAGCCGGCGCTTCAGGCCTGGGCTTAAACGCGCTGCTCCACAGCACTGGTCCCAAGACAACACTTCTATAGGCTATCACTTAATATATGCAAAACAGTCTTGGAGAAAGGAGGACTTAATTGCAAGTTCACCAAAAAAATCATTAGCATTGCTGTGATCAAGAATCATTTTATAACTTTAGTTACTCACAATTTATAAAATTATAAGAGAATGTAAGTTATAAACTACAAAATGCAGAGATACCCATAGAGTAAAATAGCCTTGAAATACGTTAGGAAAATTAGTTTCCATTGAAAGGGTACACTCCAGTCATTTTTGGTCCAAGTTTTTCACAATGCTTCCTGAGAGTATGAAGACAAATACGGAACCCTTAGTTTTTAGGAGCATGGAAAATTACTTCCTCCCCAATAATGAGACTAACATACAGTCTTCCTATAGACAAAGTTAACAAAGTCCGTCATTTTCTATAACAAAGTTCTATTACAAAGGTAAAGAACAAATGCTTTGACATTCACTGAGGTTGATATCAAAGTAATAAAGAAGAAAAAAAAACAACTAGGATTAAGCATGAATGAACTGACATTGAATACTCTCTTATGAGGTTCCATCAGAAAAAATCTTTATAAAATTTTTGCTGTTAATGCAATTTTCAACAGGTTTACCAACTATGGCATGATAAGATCGATTTGATCATTTCTGAATATGGATCCAAAGATAAGCCGGAAGACATACCAAAATGGATGATTCTAAATGCTTTGCAGAAAACAGTAAGATGCAACTAGTGTAAAACTAAAAATTAGAAGTAAAAGTGACCGCTGTGGGTTAGGGGAAGGATACACAATGGGGCAGTGAGAGGAGCAGAGGAATGAGAAGCTGATGTACTTCTTCCAAATGAACTGGGTGGGACAGTGTTGTCTCCACTTAGAAATCTCAGGATTTATCCTTTCCTTTGTAACTGCTGTCTCCTTCTCTGGGACAAATGATGTGCATGGTTAACTAGCTTCACCAAGGGAGGTAGTGTGCCCTGCTGCACCTGTTGAGAGGTAAAACTAAGCAGCAGTCCCTGCTAGCAGTAGAGTAGCACAGTGGTCAACGTCTGAGCCTGAAGCACAGAAATGCCATGCCATAGCCTTATCAACATATAATTCTGTACATTTCATATTCCATCTTAATAAAATGGGCATAGTAACCCCTACTTCTGGTTGGCAGAAATAAACCAAGTATTGTGTAGAGTGTATAGAAAGCTTTAGATATGAGACACAACGAACAACTAATACTTGTTAGTTAATGTTAGAATTTTATTTCACAGTTCAGATTTCTCTGGGCAGGTCAGTGGAAGGGTAAGAGAACTAGCATTGTCAGCCAAATGGTTTCCAGAAATAGCCTGGCATCCGGAACATAGTAAGCATTCAATAAAGAAAATGACAACCATTTATATAGTGTCAGACCTTTTTGTAAGTGGTTTTCATATATTAATTTATTTAATACTCTCAATTCAATGAGCTAGGAACTATTATCTTCATTTTATAGTTGAAGAACAAAGTGATTGAATAACTTAATGTGAATTATACAGCTCGTAAGTGACAGAGCCAAGTTTCAAACCCTCACAATCTGGAACCATCTTTGCTGTTACACTAGATGCTGCACATAAAAACAGTCATTATTTTTAGTATGGATAATAACAGAATTGAATTTTAAGAGAATTGCAAATGTTTTTACTCATTTTTCTCTGATGAATGTGGTCTGTACATTTATTGCATTTTCAGATTACATTATAGCTGTAGCAGAGGACTAAACCCTCTGTGATCATAAATTGATAAGCAAGAAAATTACCTTGTGTCTGATATCACTACTATCAATGAAACTTCAGCTATAACTCTCAGTCATGGATATAACTGAGATAGTGTATGTAGGTTTGGTTGGTTAAATTTTCAGTACCCTGACTCTGAAGCACTGTTTTTCTAGATTGTACAAAGACCATTGGTACACACCATAACATAGGCACTACTGATGGTATAGCTTCCAATAGCAAGTTCAGAAAATAATGAAATATTCACTTCACCTTCCCTTATTTCCTAGGTGACTAATATGTGAGCTGATTCATCCTCCAACTCAACTCAATTGGATTCCAGAATCAGCACTAGAAATGAGAGATTTCTTATAAGTTTTATTATTTCATAACTATTTTTATTATCTTTTATTTGGTTCTTTGTGACAATTTTATACACAATACAAAATTGAAAGTTAACATCATGTTAACCATAAGAAACTAAAAATAACTCTGAATCTCTTTTTATGTATACTAAACATATAGCAGAATGTTCTCAATAAATATAAAAAGAACTGCTGTACTTAGGAGCAAAATATGGCTCAGGTGAATCTCTGTTCTATATTCTGATCCTAAACATAGCTACATATGAGCATGCCAAATATATCTTCCATAAGATGAAATTCACATACAAAATCCAACCATAACCCATTTGTATATGTGGAGATCTTTAGCTTTGGTTGACAACAATATCAGCAATAAAATAAAGAATTAAACAAATGAATAACTATAGCCTTATTTATTTGAGTCCCCATATTTCAATAAGAGAGTAAGTTAATAATTTTCTACACAAAACTACTTCAACATATATGGAAATATATAATCAACTGGAATTTGCATATTTTATAGCGAAATTTAAACCTTTTTCCTAGTTGAAGTGTTGTGGCCAACAAAATTACACAGACTGGATAAAGAACAAGAATAAGGAAAATTCAGAGCAGGTGCCATGTTCTTGCACAAACTCTACATTGGGAAAATGGTTTTGTGATGAGCCACTGAATGCAACTTACCCAGAGGTAAAGATAAGAAAAGGCTTCTCTAAGTGTTTATAGTGTATTTTTGGTTTGTTTTGCAAGCTAATTTGCAATTATAATTTATAAATTATAATTTGAGCAAATTATACATTAAAACAGTATTCTATATGAGGACTGAATTCTAAGTCATTTCACTAAATTGATGACATATTTAGGTGAATTACAGTACTGTGTAATTTATAAAAAATTATTAATAAATTTTCTGTGAGTGTGATTTAAGTGCTCCAGATACTGTCAACTTTCATCCTCAACCTTTGTGCAAAAAAACTGTAGAAAGAGGAGGCAATTTTGACAAAAAATATGTGTGTAGAATTGGTAAGAGAACTACACTACTAGAAGCAAAAGTGTACATGGGATGGCTAAAACTGAAGGGAGAGGACCCTTGCTATGACAAGTGGTGTACAGGTAAGTTCAGGCAAAAACAAGAGGTAAATTTATCAGCAACAATATTTATTTATAAATATGGAATCTTGATAAACTAGGAATTTCCATCCCAAAAACTTCTAATTCTTTAGTTTATACTATGACGTTTAAGATGTATACTTTCAGTTACATGATTATTTCATCAATAAATAGAGCATTACAGTTTTTAAGAAACATCTACCACTTGGGCAATAATCATATATATATATATCACCACCTAAAATGATTTCATATATATATATGTATATATATAGCAATACTATGCAGAAAAGCAGTCCCCCTTCTGACATTTCATATATTTCTGAGTTAAATTATATATCAACATCTAAGCAACTTTAAAATTAGCAACTGATGTGGCCTGTGGTCTATCATATTAAACTCTATGAACTAAAAGTCTTCAGAATGACGTTGATTTGTTTAAACTTTGACAAATTCTTTTTCTCTATTTGTCTTTTCTTTGTAGTAGAATTTTGCATGTTACCATTTCTATTTCCAGGTTAATCTGAGTGGTGTCTTTTTCTTAGGGTTGTGACTCTAAAATCAGCACATGGTATGATGTTAACGCTTTAACTTTAAGTGGAATTAACCTTGGACTTTTGGCTTCAGAGGTAAGCTTCTGTTCATATGTTTAAAGATACAAAACATTAAGCAGAAACTATGCATAACAGACTCCAGAACAGCTAGGTGGAAACTTAATCAGACACATTAACACAGTAAGATCCAGGACCTTGAAACTCATCACGCCCAGGAGAAGCACAAGTCTAGGATGGGGCTAGCAATGATTCCTTAATCAACCAAGTGTATAGAGACTGTTACTAGGTGTTCATCCTGGAAGTAATGATTTAATTGTTTTGATATTATCTATATCTATCTATCTATCTATCTATCTGTCTATCTATCTATTATCTAGTCTGTCATCTATCATCTGATCTATTTTTCTGTCGTTTTGCTACATAAACCCAAGCAGTTTATGTATCTTAGCAGTAGGAACAGTCTCAGCAGGAAGAGTACTACAAAAACCGTGCAAGAATTTTAAAAAACCTTTTGCACCAAAATAAACTTCTCTTTTAATTCTGTGACCTGCAGGGTGTCAGATGTAGCATTAGAACTAAGAAACAAGATTCTATGCTGCAATCTCAGTGAAAACTGGAAAAAAAGTTCACGTTCTGGATTCAAAGACACTGTTGGAATCTACAGATTACTGTAGTGGAGACTATAGTATTGGAACAAATATATAACACATGGTTTCACAGAATAGAGTACTGATCTTAAGCTTTATGTTGATTCACTTTGATCCAAGGTTTCATCTTTTCAACTGTTAAACATTTTAGCCTCAGAATGGTAATAAAAAAGACATTCTTACAAGCAATAATGTTGTTCTAAAATGTTCATTCTGGGTCCAGAGTTGGGGCACACCAGGTTAAACCTTCGTCTGTGACACTGACACCCCATATTGGAACGCCAGGTGGAGTCTGGGTGCTCCACTTCCAATCCAGCTCCCTGCTAATGTGCCTGGAAAGGCAGCGGAGATGACCCAAGTCCTTGGGCACCTGCCACCTATGTAGGAGACCTTTGTGGAATACCAGGCTCCTGGCATCAGCCTGGCAAAGCCCCAACCATTAAAGCCACTGGGGGAGTGAAACAGATGAAAGTTCTCGTTCTTCATTTCTCTCTCTCTCTCTCTCTCTCTCTGTCTCTCTCTCATTCCCTCTCTGTGACTCTGCCTTTCAAATAAAGTAAAATCTTTTAAAATGATCATTGTCTATATTGTCTTTTTTGTTCATTCTGGGATATTTGAAAGTAAATGAGGGGATAAGGATCTGTGCTCCATATTTCATTCTGTCTTTTGCTCACGACTTCTCATGATCCTATACCAAAAAGGAGCAGCTTTGTAGGATTAATGTCTGGAAAGATGATGAACAAAAAGCTGATCAGCAATTTATCAAGGCATCTAGCTCAATGACATAGCACATTTAATTAAAATCTATTAGGCTATTTTTTTTATTTCCCTCTATACATGAATTGGATACTAACTGGCTTACTATAGAATATTCATTCTGCAGACTTCTTATTCACAGCAGATGTACCTTATTCTGAAAATTGCTTCACTTTGTCTAATCTATTTTTCTTTTAAAATATGCATCTTGGTGACTATATGCTGTTACTTTGATGAATAACCATTATTAATTCAATGTTGATCTCTTATTGTTTCCTTTTCTTTCAGATTTTGCAAGTCTCATTAATTATTTCTTACTTCAGACACATCAAGAATAGAATATATGTGGAAATGTGATCTTTGGAGTTTTATTTGTCCCAAAGAAACTGGTTAATTTTCAAAAAATTACATTGTTATATTACAAAAATATTTTTATTTGCATTTACTAAGGTTAGGACCTATTCAAGTCACTGATTGTCTATAAAGTAGAATTGTTAAATATTATCATAAAATATTTATGAACTTTTCTCAATTTTGTTTTTCAAAATACCAAACACTTGAGTTTAGAACTTTGCCTTGACTTATTTTCTGAATTCAGAGTGTATCATCACATGTACTGAATTGAAAATAAGGTGAAGTATTAACATATGTTTTGAGTTTCTTATATGAAGAGATAAGGTATTCAGAAAATACTAAGAAAGCAAAAATAATCTATTCCAAATGATCACTCAGATCCCATATTCTTTACTGTTCAACCTTATTGTCTCTTTTTCCTGAAATTTTTTTGGTGCTGGTTTAGACAATTCTCTCAGGAAATGAAAATCACCTAATTTTTTACGGTGATATTGTGAGAAAACTAACTGCTTTGAAAAATAAAAAATGCTATACAGATATGACGTACTATAAGTATTGTCCTTAGTAGTAAAAGGCTGTCTTGATCTTGAGGAATGAAGAAAAGTTAGATTGACTGAAGAGCCTGCATTGCTTCAACACATACAGAAATCTCACTCCCAATACTAATTCAGTCATATCTCTTTTCATCTCTCTTCAGTGCTCTGCAAATATCAGAGACTTGTGAACTTTTCAACTGTAGCACAAAAGAAAATAGAAAAAAAAATTTCCCTTAAACAACCTTTTTTCAGTTTAGGTATGTCAAATAGACATACCTTCTAGTCTTTGGAGGATTAAACTCATCCTCAGATTTCTATTTTCTCTAAAATATGTCATAGGAAAACACTTAGCAAAAAAAAAAAAAGTTTTGCTATTTGGAAATTTAAAAAATCAATCATTGGTAATCAAGTAAATATTATAAATTATTTTAATCACGCTCTCTATACATGTGTGTACACGTTTGGTTTTGCACCAAGAAAAAAGGCCTCTGTTAGATATTTAGATATTTTAGTATTTAGATATTTAGATAATTTAAAATTACAGTTCAAAAAATACATTCATCACTGATTGTATCATCTTTATGGTTTTAGCTAATATTGTCTTGAAGGGGGTTGACTTACACATTGAATAAATGAAAATAGAGAAGATCAGTATTGTGTCTGTTTCCTTAATCTTTTCTAAAAAAATAATCTCTATCGGAAGTGAAGCAGTGAATTGGGACACAGGAAACCATGTAATCTGACTTTACCTTGAAATTGTTATATCAATCGCTTCTCGGCCTTTTGGCTAAGATGAAGTGTGAATTGTTATATCACTTAGAAAAATGTATTTGACATGTTTTGGGCTCCCTCATTTTAATAATGCAGGGTTACTTTGTGAAAGTCCTATAAAAGTAGGATATTTTCAGATTGATCTAGATGAAGATTTATACATTCCTCAATAAGCTTCTATTCACCTGTGATTCACCAGGAACATTGCTAACTATTGGGATATGAAGATGAAGAGATATACAGGGCTGGCATTATAAGCATGAAATTTGTACTTAGGAGAAACCCCACTTCATTATTTGACAGTTGTCATGTTGAGATTCTTAATCTTTTTGTGCTAACATTTTTAATTTGCATTACAATCAGGGGCTTAATGCTCCACTAAAGAGTTCAGCAAGTAAAAAGTAAAAAGACCTTAGTTCAATGGAAATAAAGGAAGGGGCTAAAAACACTAATCAAATGGAAAAATGACCATTTCACTCATATATAGTAAATTTTTAAATAATCATAGATCATTAAAACTGTGGTAGCGGGGCCAGTGCTGTGGCAAAGTGGGATAAGCTTCCTCTTGCAGCATATGGACACAGATCTGTCTCCCAGCTGCTTGTCTTCTGATCTAGCTCTCTGCTGTGGCCTGGGTCCAAGAGCTTGGGCCCCTGTACCCGCATAGGAGAACTGGAATAAGCCCCTGGTTCCTGGCTTCAGATCAGCTCAGATCTGGCTGTTGTGGCCATTTGGGGCATGAACCAGCAGATGGAGGACCTTTCTCTGTTTCTCCCTCTCTCTCTAACTCTACCTCTCAAATAAATAAATAAAATCTTTAATAAAAAACCCCACTACGGTAGTATACCAAGGGATATCATATTTACATTGTTCAATGAGTTCTGTAATTATGCTAGTATCCAGTCTACACAGCCAGACATAAAAAATGATTTTTATATGTGTTCATTTTCATGAACACCCAGAGGAAGAATGCCTGTTTACCTTGGAGGTTCAGAGAGGACTTCTAAAATTAAACTCACTCATTCAATGAATACTTATTGACCAACTACCATATGTCAGGCACTGTTCTATGTGCTGGAGAAACTGTAGTGAATAACACAAAACAATCAAAAATGTATTTATGGAGGTTATCATCAAGTCAAGGGGACAAACATTAAAACATTTTACCATTACACTGTCGACATGAAAATATTTTAAAAAGTGCTATGTCAGGTGGTGAGGAAAGCATTATAGAAAAACAAAGCAGTGTTGGGGGAGTTAGGAGCACTAAAGTTTTAAAAATTATTTTATTTTTATTTACTTGAAGGAAGAAGGCATACTCTGAAAAAATAACTATTGATAAGACGAGGAAAAGATGACAAAAAGACCACAGAACCCTGCAAACAAGAAGAAATGGCAAATAGAAAGGGAGAAATGTACTGAGGCAGAAAGGAGCAGGTGCAGTTCAAACAAGGCCAAGGACACAGTACAGTCAGAGTGGAGGTAGTAGATGGTCAGAGAACTGGAAGAATAGACAAAGGTTAAGAGAGGAAAAAGCCCAGGAAAGAAGTCATTAGCCATTAGCCATTCTCAGGGATTTCGGTTTGAGAGATTTTGCACAAGTGACATTGTAAGACTTGCATTTTAATAGGAACGATTGACTTGACATGTTGCAAACAAATTTAAAAGGCATAAATATGTCTATAAAAAGATTTACTAGAGAGAAAAAATTAGATTTAAGAACCCAGATAAGAGATGATAGCAGATATGACCAAAGGGTGAAGATTGCATTAGTGAGAAACCATCAGATTCGATAGACAAATCTGTGTGGGGACATCAGAGTTGCCCACAGTTTAAATGTAAGGCTGTGAAAGAAAATGACCCAAGAATGTTTTAAATTATCTCAGTAAAGCTTCATATGGAAAAAATAACCAAGGAGTATTGAGTAACTGGAAGAATTGAGTTATCATTTAGTGTAATAGCAGAGACTTTGAGAAAGCAAGTCATTTTAATTTAACACGAAAACACTTTAAAAAGCGTCATGAAATGATTTGTTTTAGTCTTCGTTCCACACTAGTCTGCAAGAAACTCCAGGCTAGGATTATCTTGAGTCATCTTTGCAGCTCCAATGAAAGGGACAGTAAATATTGATGGACCTTAAAACTTAGGTTACTCAGTGTTCCGTCAGAAGAGGCCACGTTGTCCTTTTAGGTTTTTAGGTTGTCAGATGCTGACTGTACCCATGATTTTTGGTTCGCTGAGCTATCATAAACTGTCTAAACTTGTTTCCTGAACAGTAACTGAGAGTTCAGTTAATCACTGTTCCTACATTTGCTTTTTCTAGGAATTGAATGAAAGATGTTGGTAGAACATGACAGTTCTTTAAAAGGGTTTCACCAAAACATTATTCTAAAAGAATAGCTCTATAGAATACTATTAAACCTAAAAATTTTGCTTAATATTCATGATATTTATATGATATTTGTGTTCCTTATTTCCTTTCTGTGGTCTTAAATAAGTAACTAATAAATACCTAATAGTCCATGGGAAAAGGAAAGCACAAATTTGAAATGTTTTTACTACTGTGACACATGTGAGAAACAATCAACCAACCAACAAGCTAGGCTTTACGTTACCTGAAATATTTCACTGTTTACTCTCTTTTATTTACTTTTCTTAGGTATTCTTTTGTTTAAATGTTTATTTTTCATGTGCTTGAATGCCAGAAAGTGATATCTTCCATCCTTGGGGGTTTACTCCCAAATACCCACAACAGCCAGGGCTGGGCCAGGCCAAAGCCAGGAGCCTGAGACAGCGCCTGGGTCTCTGATGTCGATAGCAGGGGCCCAAGCACTTGAACCACTTCCTGCTGCCTCCCAGGGTTCATGAGTGGGAAGCTTGATCAGAAGCAGAGGAGCCCGACCTCAAATCAGCACTCTGATATGGGATGCAGGCATCCATGCAGTGTAACTCACTCAACCATAGCACTCATCCCTCCTTCCTTATTTTTGGAGTCACTTGTTAGATAAGAGACAATAATAGCGTATTTCCAGTAAACCTGTAATTATTAAACAATAATGAATTTTAATATTGTATAAATGATAACATCAAAAACAGCAGAAGCTTTTTCTTGACAAATCAAATTGCAGAGATTAAGCCTGTGCTAGTATTGTGAATAGCTGGAGCAAAGTAAGAGCAAATAGTTTTGCACAGCATTTATAATGTGACAATAAGGTGCATAGAAGTTGTTAAAATGTTTTAAAGCTTATCACCAATTGCATTCAAGAACAGCAGACAATCTCCTCAACATTAAAATTTATGGAGTGAAACAAGCAATAGCACTGCTTTTTTTGGTAATTCAATCCATATTTCTTATTGCAGGAGAAATATATAAAAGATGCTAGAAAAATCATGTTTATAAGAATTTGCAGATTATTATTAAAGTACAAACATTTGTTTAATACATGTATAAAGGTTTATGCATATATGAGAATACTTCACATTCATGGGAAAATGGAATTAGATATCTTTTGATGTAAAAAATTGGAAGCTATGTATAATGTTCTTCATAATACTATAATATGAACTATAATAATAGTTAATTTTTCATGAACTATTTGAAGACTCTGAATATAACATTTAAATTACTTGATATATTGGAGTTCAAAAGAAGATATATGACTGGGGCCGGCACTGTGGCATAGTGGGTAAAGCTGCCACCAGCTGGTGCCAGCACCCCATATAGGTGCTGGTTCAAGTCCTGGCTGCTCCACTTCCAATCCAGCTCTCTGCTGTGGCTTAGGATAGCAGTAGAAGATGGCCTAAGTGCTTGGGCCCCTGCACCCGCGTGGGAGACCCAGAAGAAGCTCCTGGCTCCTGGCTTTGGATCAGCTCAGCTCCAGTTAGTTGCAGCCATTTGGAGAATGAACCAGTGGACGGAAGACACCTCTCTCTCTCTCTTTCTCTCTCTCTACCTCTGCCTCTCTCTAACGCTGCCTTTCAAATAAATAAATAAAAATATTTATAAAAAAGAAGATATATGACAAAACAAAATCCATGACTTCATGATGGATTTCCTAGGATGCAAGACACATTAAAGTGTTGGTAAACCAAAATTTATAATCACATTCTAATATAAATTCTTTACTATTTATTGTATTATTTTCACACAAGAGGAAATGCAATTTTTTTTCTGTTTTGAAATGTGTTGTTAATTCTATTAAAACATAAGAGAGCAGAAAGTAATAGAAAATAGCTAAACGACAAAATGATATAAGTGAGCAATTTTCATACCATATTAAGTATATTATCATCTACTACACCTAGGTACTAGTAAATACAAAATTACTAGCAAGTCATAACAACCAATTCAAATACCACTTGAAATTTACAAGAATTCCCTCTTTGCTAAAAAAGTAATACAAAATATTTTAAAGCTCTAGAATAATTTTAAAAGAAAATTGGCCAAATATTATTAACAACTTCAAATGAATTAAAAACAGAATATTAACAGGATTGGGAAAGGTTACTTTTCAAATTTGCAGTGTATGAAGATATTGAACCTAGTGTTTACTTTTATATTTATTAGTGTTTGACTTTCAGGCATAGTATTTTTTCTCTTAATTCCAATCTACTTGGCCTATTCCTGGATCCTTGATATTGTGTATTTAATGAGTAATTCTTCTAAACACAAAATACAACATACCATGCATGCCATTATACCAATATGTTATATTATGTCAGTTATACCTTTGAAGTGTCATACATTCATCAATTTTCATTAGAAACATTATCAGAATCATTTTTGCAGCTCAGGAATTTCATCCTTCCAATCCAGCATATTTCAAAGTATTTACAACAATATTTCTGATTTTTCTAGTCTA